GTTAAATATGAATGTATTGTTTTTAAAATTAATTTCTTTATATAATTATATACAAGTTTATTATTGTCATTTCGCCATTGTCTATTGTTTCTATCTTATATACTTATAAAAAAATAAAGTTATTTTTATTACACGGATTTGGATTTGTTTTTATTTCTTAATCTAACTATATAACATTTCTTTACTGATTTAAAAACTTAAAAAAAGAATTTTCAATGTTTAGAACATTTCTAAGTGCACATTATGCGATAAGTACCGAAGTATCACTTTCAACACATTTATTTAATTATAAATACAGTTTAGATTGCTAATGATACTTCCAATATCATATTATCAACGAAAAATAAAGTTTGAATTAATGTTTTAAAATAATAATGTTGCAAGTTTGAAAGTGAGGCATACTTTTTGAGAAAAAACATTAGTTTTAATGGAATATTAGTTATTTATTCGAAGCTTAAGTTCCAAGTGATTTAAAAAAAGGTTCTTTGTGCTTTTACAATATATATTTATTATAAAATATAGAAAACAATCAATTTAAAATTGTTCCTATCACATTCCCGGCGTTTTTTTTTAAAAGTAGTATTAGCAGCAGTTGAAAGGTGTCGCCCTTATACTGAAGTATATTTTAACAAATTACGATAATTTGGTTAGGTGGCGCCACTACATCGAAATATGAAATAATTTCAAATCATGGTACATACAATTTATGCTGTTTTTATTAATTTTTTTCAAATTGTCGCTGCATTTGTTCTTGTAAAATTATTTAAAATATGTAAAGTATTTTTGGTACTATAAACGTGTGAGCACTAACACATTTCAGTATTCTCATGCATATGTTCATGTTACGTATGTATGTAATTATAACTTTGGGTTACTTGAAGATGATTATACCATAAAGAGAATCGAATTGTCTACTATTTTTCGTTTTAAACTCTGATGGTTCAATTGTTTTTTAATTGTTAATTAAAAGTTTAATTAACGCAGTATTTTATTTTATTTCATTGCATCAAAAACTATTTTATAAGTGTTATGTGAATATCGTCTATTAGTTTTACTATGCTGCAATTAAAAAAATAAACAACTTCAGACACAATGTCTTAGCAATCGATTTTATAGATAGCAAGTGGAAAATTAATGAAAAATTAACAGTTTTATACCTCTGTGAGGTTTTCGATTGTGTTATAGGTATCAAAGAAAAACAAATTGCCATTTTACAAATTGTTTTAATACTTGACGTTAGAATACTTTCTCTTGTTAATGATACTGCTTTGTATGCTTTTGTTTTAGGTAAAACAAGTGAATTTGAAACAAAATATAACAAAAGTTCTCCGTGCTTCAGGTTATTATTCAAAAAAGTAATTTTACAAAATTCTAACTTCAAGTAACTAAAACAACCACTAAAAGCCTGTTGTACATGACAATTATAAAAGGCTTGTGTAACCAAGTGCTTGTAATTTGGTTGGATTTGTATTGGACTATTACGAAGATGTCCAGATATCAAAATATTAAATTATCGTTCTACTACCAACAAATATATGAAAAAACTTCTTGTAATAATGCAAGTTTGCAGAAACTAACGAATTTAGTTGGGTATCAACATGATATTTACAAGTTTTATCATTTTTAATATTTATCACGGCGTGGGCTACATTATTGAAACTATCTCAAAAAATAACGAAAATCGTTTGGGGGCGAAATAAAAAAATACGTACCTCCTTTTCACTTAAAACTGCTTTAAATGGCCTGTTAAAGAAGAGAACACCATATCTCTCGAAACGTTAAGTGATTGCAAATGGACGACGTCGTAAGCAGCTCGAAAACCAACTTGTACCAACGACACCAGCCATGGAAACCTAAAGTTATTACCTAGTATTTTTAAACACTTATTATACCTTTAGGACTTGGCGAAAAACCTACTGTGGAATAATTAAACCAATTTTTATTTATTGTTATAAATAAGTGGACGAATATTAATACAAAATTATTTATTATTAATCACATTAAATTCGCTAACATTAAAAAAAAAAAAGAAAAATAACTACGAAATGAAAATAAGAATAAAAATAAAAACTTACAATTTTATATAATAGCTACGAGTAGGTACAAGCATTTGCCAAACCCAAACATGTATTCTTTTTGTAACTTTTCGCAGTGTTATTTCACTTTTAATTATACTGATCAGTTTAATCACTACATTTAAAATACTTTGGTACTTGTCTAGCAACGATAAGTTTACTTTTTACTTATCTAATTTGAAACCAACGCCAAAATTGACGCCATAGACTGTTCTACCTCTTTTGTTTTTTCTTCTAAAATAAAATCGATAATCGGATGNTTTAGAAATGGTTGTCATTTTAGTTTTTTAGTTAGTTGAGTTGTCTATTGCTTATTTTTAGTTATCAACAAAATTTATTTACTATTTTGGTATAACTTTCATCATTGCTACTTATTAATTGAAAATCATTACCGTCAGTTATTATGTTGTTTAAACAATTGATGTAACTGATATTGTTCTTCTGTTTTGATTTATGCTTCAGTTTTTGTTTATTTTTTTTTTAAACAGTTGAAAAATAGAACATAAAGTTAAAAGAAACACCAATATTTTCATTTATTATTAAAATTATTTATTCTGTTCTAATTCTTACCTTTTTAGAGATGCAAGAAAGTTCTAATCCCTTCGTACTAAGGGGAGTACTAAGTCCGTAATGGTGAAACCATTCTAGTTGATGTGTGTGGATAATGGCCTTCTGTCGAAGAAGTATTGGTATCAAAAACTTCCATTTCCATTCCAATTACTGTAAAAACACGGGAAATGCCTCAGAAATGAATATAATAGGATACCAAGGCGAAAATTAATGATAATTTTCCATCTTTATAGATTTAAGAAGTTTTTGATTGTTTTATAGGTAGGTACCAAGTAAAAACAAATTGTTGTTTTGTAAATTGTTTTAATAGTAGACGTCGGAAAACTTTCCTTTGTTTGAGATATTTCTGTGTATCTTTTTGTTTTATGGAAAACAAGTGATTTTAAGACAAAATATAACAGATATATTCATAGTTCTTGTTTCGATCAGAGCGAACACCTAATTTGGTAGTAAATAAAAAGAGATTGTTGGTTTATAAGTTGTTTTAATAGCTAACGTTAGAAAATTTTAGTTTGTTTTAGATACTTGTATTTTTGTTTTATGAAAGGAAAGTATATTTGGGACGAAATATAGCAAGTAAAAATACCCATAAATATACCAAGTAAAAATACTCATAATTCTTGTTTTTATCAGAACGAATTCCTAATTCTAATACATACCTAATGTAGTGAGCCATTAAAAGAACGCATTTTGACGAAAACTGTTTTGATCTGTGCCCTTTTACTATTAAAATTTTGTAAAAGCATTCGGGAACCATGTTTCTTTAAAAGTAGCGTCACTTGAAAAGACCGTCTCCGGCTGGATAGTCAGAGATATGCATGAAATTCACAGCCAACTTTGTTGATGTAGTTGAGAAAATTTAAAATAAATATATTTGGAATGTCAATTTGTTTATTTATTTAAGGGAATTTATTTCATTTGTTCGTTACTTTTTAAATGTTCAGTTAATACAATGCTTTGTTGTATTTCTGTCGTATGTAAGTTATGAATTTTACTTGCATTTTAGTTTTAATCTTAAGAAGTCTCAGGGTTGAAGTCCATCATTTTTTCCTTTGGATTAAACAGTTGACTATTAATATTTTTGTCTTTCATTTATTATAATTATTGGTATACTTCAATGTATTTTAAAAAAAAATGGCTCAACATGTGTACATATTAAAGTAAAAAACTTTGGGGAAGCAATTTAAAATATTAAAATAACATTTGCCAAGTACGTTACAAATACTTATAAATCAGATTATCTTTAACTAAAAGACTTTCATGATTACATGATTGAGTTTTGAGGCTTCCATGTCTTTGATGTTTTTCATTAATAAAAAAAAGTGTATTCGTTTTCCCATTACGCAATGTTAAAATGCAGTGGCTAAATGCACCACACCGCTCAAAGATCAGTAATCTGACTGCAATGACCTTGGTTCTTTAATGGTTAGTTTTCAGGTAAATAATTTTAAAAAAAATTAATGAAAAACCTAAAATCACACCTTTATGTGGTTGTGTAAGAACAGTTTGCTATTCCCTTTTTCATTCAAGATGGTGTACGACCAGTTTGATGGCAATTTTTCTATATACTGAGTTAATTACTTAATTGATATTGTTTGAAGAGTTGTTCTGTTATCCTCAACTAGGAGATTTAAAGGACATGGCTGAGGCTTGTATGAATAAGGACGAGCTTTGGAGGGAGTGTGCAAGTTGGTTAACGAGATGGGACGTACTAAGGAGTGATCACAGAGTCAATTGGTCCACTGCAGACATAATAGACCTAGCAAACATTTTAAGAGACGGTGTTATCCTTTGTACCCTGCTTAGTAAAATGGACCCTGGCTGCATTGATATGAAGGACGTTAATCTTAAACCTGCAATGGCTCAAGTAGAGTTATTTATACAGTTGATTTTTTTTTTTATAATTTTCTCATTGCTGTTTCAGTTTTTATGTGTTCGAAACATACAAACGTTCCTGAAAATATGTGTAGCTTCATTTGGAATAAAAGAATCTGATCTTTTCGAGCCTTTAATGTTATTCGATCTGACGGATTTTCACAAAGTTTTATGTACTCTTTCAAAACTATCACTTACGCCAAAATCACAACAAAGTAGTATAAGGTACCTAAATCATCAATAAAAATGCATGCAGATGATTAGTTTTGTACTTTTTTTAGAGGTTTTAGTGGCCAAAGTCTCAGAAGGAAAGATGAAGATGTATATCACAACTTAAAATTCATGTAAGTTGACGTTAATCTCAAATTGTTTTGTTTGAATCAAAAGAAAAGGAAAACTTGATCTGATGTTAATTTGATATACATAGTGGTCAATGATAGTGGTGAACGCTTTAACATTTTGTTTAATGTTTGTCATTGTTTTACATCAATTCATTACAGCTAAAAGACGTTTTGGTTAATACAATGCTTTAATGAAGCAACACGATATGTGTTTCACTGCATAAAGTTGCAGAGTCTAACTTTTTATTTAATTCCCATGTAAAAGAATAATTAATATGCCTATGCAAGTGAACAATTTTTTATTTAGAAATGGTTTAGAGTATCACTGGGGGTATAGAGTTTGTTATTAATAAAATTTTCTTATTTTACCTGCGGCCTCTCCAACAGGGATGTTAAACCCACAAGGTTAGAACCTAGTTGGCTACAATTTACAATCCCTTGTCCTCGGCCAGAAGACTCTGAAGAGGAGGTCTATGACGATTTATGTTACGTTACCTTCTCTGATTGCCTACCAGAGGTGGGCAATAGTCATTTAGTCTTAATTTTTTCGTTTCTATATATGTAATAGTCGTTATTCCCTGCGTCGTTTCGTGTTTTTTTGTAGCTTGCCCAACATTAGCCACAGCAATTAGTTAATTTGCAAACATTAAGCTGATTTCTTAGGTATTGATTGGATTTTTGTATTTATATTTTTTATCAGTATTTTTTCTTTATATGGGTCGTAGGAATAAAGAAAAGATATTATTACAGTCAGTTCTGTTTTTAACTTGTTTGGTCTTTATTTCTGCCTTAAAGTTTTATATTTACCTATTCGTTTTTTCTAAGTATTCTGCTTTATTAGTTAGCTAAATTTTGAGAGTGTTACTGATTGTTTCTTTATTTTGGAGTGGTGCAGAAAGGACTAGGGTTGATAAGAACATAACAATGGCCCCCAGAACAGTCAGTTTAATGAGTTTTCTAAAAAAAGGTTTTATATATAGCAGAAAAATTATATACCTATGCCCTTACATTGGTGACTATCACAGGGTCAAAGCCAATGTGTAGTGTTAAGAAGCTAAAGTGGGCGTTCCTCAAGGTACGATACTTGGACCGCTTCTCTTTCTTCTCAGTATAAATGATTTAAATATTAAAAAAGACGAAGTAATACCACTGCAGTCATCTCAGCTGAAGATATCTGAGGGCAAGTGATCCCAAATTGCTATGAATTAATAGAACAAGTATAAGGAACAAGAAATATGTTTTAGAAAACTCGTTAAACTTGCCGTTGTGGGTCCATTTTCAAACTCTAGGCCTTTAGAGAGCTTTTAGCTCTTATTGTATATTGTTTACTGGCCTTAGTGCATGGCTGTTTTTGTGTTAGTGATCCACCATCCAGAATCGATCTAAACATGGACCAATTTGATTACCACGATAACTACCATAAAGAAGAGGAAATTTATCACGATTTATGTTTGCTACAAAACGTTACAGCTCGTCAGGAGGTAATCAACCATTATTTTTTTGTTAATAACAGTAATGTGACCTCCGTTAGTGAGATTACATAATTTGAGAGTCTATTCTTTAATTTTAAATAAGCTAAATTAATTTACAAGTTTAAAATGTCTTCATTCGTTCAGATGAAGCAGCAGATAGCGTAAGTAAATAATAAATAGTTTGATAAATGTATCGATTGCTTTTAGTTGTAACGTTTGTAGTTTTATTAATTGGATGGCTAATTGATTATACTGAAAGGGTTTTTTTATTTATAGTTAAGTATCCAAGCCCCGTTAGAGAAGCGAGACTTCGTAATTAAGGAACTTATAGAAACAGAACATAATTATGTGGAGGTTATCAATAAGCTCAAGAAAAATTTCATGAGACCTCTTCAAACCATTTTAAGTGCAGATGTTCATTCTACCATATTTTGTAAAATTAATGTAATCTTTTTGGTATTGTTAATTTATCAATGTGCTGAAGAAAAATTTTCTAGGAATTACACGAGATTCATACCGGGTTTTTAAGTCAGCTTTTAAAAGTTGGGATTGACAAGTCCGTTAAATTAAGTAATATTTTTATGAATTGGAGGGAAAGGTTCTTAGTTTATGGGCCATACTGTGCAAATCTCTCTAACGCCTGTGCTCTGTTACAAGAAAGCTGTGATAAAAACGAAGTTGTAAATATGGAAGTTTGTGTAAGTTGTAAATCTATTGCGGTATCAACTTGAAAACAAAAAAAAATTAAATTACAGAGGTGTGAGAATGAAGATAACAATGGAAAGTTTAAACTACGAGACGTACTCTCTGTGCCAATGCAGCGTATTCTTAAGTACCATTTATTATTGGAAAAATTGATCGATCTGACTGATCCGGTAAGAGCTCGCCATCATTAGTTTCGTTTCGTTGAAGATGTTGGGGGTTGCTTTCAGAATCACGAAGAATATAAGGATTTAAAAAGAGCGAGGGAGGCCATGCTAGATGTAGCAGGGTACATAAATGAAACAGCCAGGGATAGCGAACATCTTGCCGTAATTAAGAAAGTACAAGAAAACTTAATAGAATGGGACCGTTCGTCTGAGATAAAGTTGGAAAACTGCGGTCGATTGATAAAAGATGGAGAGTTGAAAGTAAAGGCACATGATGACCAGAAAACGAGAAATCGATATGTCTTTATTTTCGATAAAGTTTTAATTTTATGCAAACAAGTAAAGGTAAGTGCTTTCTTCAAGTTCTAACACGTATTGATTGTGGATATGATTGAAAGCCATAGGTTACGGTAGTATCACAGGTGGGTCTTTAAGTTTAAACTAAGACTATTTCGAGATCACTCCAATCTAATTAGGTCACACATTAACAATATTTAATTTTTTAGTTTTAAACCTAGACCAATTGTCACTTTGGGATTGATTAAAAGTGATGGGGTGTATTTTGCAGATGATTAAGAATCAATGTTGCTGTTTTCAGGGAAACCAGTTTGCGTATAGGGGTTCATTACACTTGCCAGATTTTCGTTTAGATGATTATAATAATAGGCCCATATTAAATAGAGAAGCCAAATGGGTGTACCAATGGCATCTTGTCAAAAACGATCAGTCCACCGTATACACTTTGTATGCCAGGAGTATCGAAATAAAACGTAAAATGATGAAAGCTTTAAGAGACGCCATGTAAGCAACGCTTTCTGAATTGAGGTTGAACAATGGTACAATTACTTTTTTTTTATGGTTATTGTAGAGATAACGTTCAGCCGTCAGCTCTTGCCAAAACGAATCACAAATTCGAAATGCATTCGTTTGATAAACCGATTACATGTAACAGATGCTCAAAATACCTTAAAGGTCTTATTTTTCAAGGCTACAGGTGCAAGACTTGTGATATAGCCGTCCATAAGGAGTGCATTGCCGGTTCTGGACGATGCGGCGCTCCTCCTCCTCTACCTCCTCCCACACTTCATTGTGACGCTCAGTTAATGGATAAATTGTGGTAAGTGGTAATAAGTAAAAAGTGTTACGCTTTTGTGGGTTCTTATTCAATTTAGGGCAATAAACGAGTTCTGTAAAGACTTTTAATCGGTAGGGAAGGTAAGTATATACATTCGGTGTTTTTGTATGATGTAAGGATTTCTGGACTCTTACTCGGGACAGAATAAGTAAATGTGTCCTTTTATTTTATACGTGTTTTTCGATTCTATTGATAACTCGGTTCAAGATGGTGAGTAAGTCTTTCTTAAAGGTTTGCTGGAGATATGGATAGAAACGAAGCTGCCGCCATCTTGGAACATCGAAGAAATGGTACCTACTTGGTACGGATACGTTCCCAAAGAGACGATGCCGACAATTTCGCCCTCACTCTTAAGTAATAACCCATTTTCTAATAAGTATATTTATTGTCAATTAAATTGTTTCTTGTTTCATCATCTTTAGAACCGACAACGCAGTCAAACACATGAAGATATGTTGTAGTGTGGTGGGTTCCGTGAAGAAATACTACTTGTCAATATCTAAATATTTTAATAGCATTGAAGAACTCATTGAGAATTATCAGCATTCTAGTCTCAAGGAGAATTTTGAAAGGTATTGTTTTTTGGGATGGTTTTGAACAATTAAAAGCTTATTTTTTGAGTTTGTTATTTGTTTGTTGTGCAGGCTCGAAGAAAATACTTATTTAGAATGGCCTTATCGTCAGTTGCGAGCCGTTGCAGTGAGGTCGTTCAGTAGCGACTGCCCTGATCACTTATCTTTTGAACAGGGACAAAATATCGTTGTTGTAGGACAGGAAGGTTACCAGGAGGGTTGGTGGAAAGGAAAACGAGATAACATGGTAGGTTATGGATTTCTTAAGCAAGATTTTTTTTATGACTTGATTTTACTTGAGCTTGACCTAATCATATACCTAATACTCCTATATTGCTAGTCCCCGTAAGTGACGCCGATGTCGAGCAAGAGAGACAGCAACTACATACTTCTTCTCATTCGTTTATACTTGATGCGTTATGCGCAAGCGTTGCGACTGTAGTGGGGGAAGCCCTCATCTCTCAAAGCTTATAAAGTGGTTAGAGTAGACAAGTTTTCGTATGCTTGGTAGCTTCTCGGACATGCGCACAACGTTCAAAGTATAAATGAGGGAGACAGACATATATATGTCTGCACCGTTGAGTCGTCATCGTTTTCTAGACCCTTACTAGCAATATAGGAGTACGAATAAGTATATGGACCTAATACTAGTACCATTAAAAAGTAATTTTTATTAATTTGTTTTTTTTTATTTACAGATTGGTTACTTTCCGAAGTACTGCATACAAGTTCTGGAGTCGGTAACGCGGGAAATTTAGTATTCGGGGTCTTTAGTACACTTCGATACTTTAATTAACAATCACCCTGTTGTTATAATATTATACATGTATGTGCGCATGATGTGCTGGTTTTCTTTTTGTTCAACATGTTTGTTTCTGTTTAGTAAAGATGTTAAATATATATGTTTTGTATATTTGTAGAAAAATGTTTGTGAGATATTATACAAAAATATAGATATATATATA